AATAACTAAATTCACATATTTTTTCATAGGTCAGAAAAGAGTGGGTGAGACTTGCGGCTCAGAAATGTGGTGGACTTTGACACTGACTACAGTCACCTACAGTAGACTACAGTATCCACAACAGAATGTACTGTCAAGTTATTGGCTTGTACAACACAATTTTTAGCTCAGTGAATGAATGTTTGTTACTGAAATGGGCCTTGGAAGTCTTTGTTAAATTCTTTCCTTCAGTTTTGATGTTAACTAACTTCCTGCATCTTTGTCTTTTTACCTGAGAATCTGATATTTTACAACACAGCAGAATCTATGATAAGCTGCCAACTGTCAAAAGTGCACAGAAGACCACCCACTGCCACCTAATGCATGCTGGGGTAGATTTGGAGATTGAGCAGAATTAGCCTGCACTAACACTGCTGGGTGCTGTACGGTGACCTTGTCCATCTGAAAAGCCACCAGAGATCATAAGTAAAAGGTGCTCGTTTGTTAGCGTCATCACGCTGTGGGTGCTGAACAGGTGATGTTCTGTTGCAGGAGTTGTCGGGGAAAGACCAGGAGAAGGTGGCCGAGGTGAGCCGGGTGAGGGTGGAGTTGCAGGAGCAGATCGGACATTTACAGGCAGAGAGGACAGCACAGGGAGGACTGAAAGAAAAGATCAATGCTCTGGAGAGAGAGCTTAAAGGTACACCCTCACTCTTCCTTTTTTCACAGCTTCACACTTCAGCTTTGTCGTTATACATTTCCAGTCACTTAGTTTACGTTTGTGTCTTTGTGTATTTTGTTTGTGTATTTGTTAGTCAGAAACAAATATAATAATACCAGTAGCATGACCTGCCCCAATGCAAGATGTAGAAATGCTCAAGCACTGTAGATTTACAGTATGATATATATAGTATGTCTGAAATCTAAAATGAATTTTTATACTGCTTTTTTTTAAATGCCTCTCTCAATCTGCAGTACTGAGCAGTAACCACAGAGAGGCGCTTCTTGACAAAGACAGTGAGATGTCTTCCATGCTGGAGAAGCTGCGGCTGAAAGAGGCAGAGATCCAGAGGATGAGGGAGGACGAGGCCAATAGAGCCAGCTACCTGCAAAGTGCAATCCTCACCTACGTTCAGGGCTCCCCTCTGGGACACTACAGCAGCCCCAAGAAATGACCAAGATACCTCCACCTCATGTCAGCGGTAACCTCTGAGCTCCAGCGCTGGTGGAACATGTCATGATTTCCTGGACTTAAAGAGTTTAGAAAAAACAGCAACGCCTGGAGTGTAAGAACAGTATAATGGAGCAGACAATCAATGCTTGGCAATAATCATACCGACAGCATGATGTCACATTGAGCACATCCAGTCAAGAACTGAAAGTTTAAAAATTCTCCAACCTCATGAGAGCTTTTTAGTTTGGTCTCTGTCCTGTTATGCTGCATTTTTCTTTATTGCTACATTGCCTAAATACAACTTTAGTCCCAGCACAGGCACTTAGGTAACAGTAAGAAGTACTCATCTACGAGTAACTTAATCAGGTTTCAAATGAGTTTGTCTCAGTAAAGATGGCAGTACTGCTCAGTCGAAATATAATCAACATTCACCAGAAGCCTTAGTCTTATTTGTATCTGTTGTAATAACACTGTATTTGCTTGAAATAGTCTCACATTGCCAGCAGTTCTGTAGAACAGATGTATGTTTTTGTTTCTTTCAACCAATCTCAACCATACTGGGTGGATGGGGGAATTGGTTTGGTGGAACATTTGCATGCAGGAAGCAAGCAGTATAATTATAATGGATAATTTAACAAAAAATCCTCGCAGGGCTGTCTTAGTGCATGATCCAAATCTTCTTTAAAACTAAAAATTTTCAGTGTAGGAGGTTGCCGGGGGTTGCAGAGATTGTTGTTGCTGTTTCCAGCATTGAACTGGATTTTGAAAACAGTAGATGTAAATAGTAGTAGGGGAGGAGAAAGCCAGCCATGTGAAATGCACAACCACTGGCAGGCTTTTACCTGCAGCCTACATCAGGTCAAACACACTGTTGCTTAAGTAACAGCTGAGATCTGGGAACACTGTGATATCACTGTGAAGAAGTCTGACAGATCATATAAGACATGCAGTCAGGTATTCAGCTCATCCAGATGATCTACAACACTTCATTTCCTGGTGAGTTCATCTGAAATATTAATAACAACTGCTCATTGACAACGTTGAAGCAGGAAGTGTCTGTGTGAATTGTGGTGAATGTTTTACATTCAGTTAGGGTAATACCTTTACTCTTCACCTAATGCCACAATTACACTTTGCGAAAGATGTCTGAAACAACTTTGCAGACCTATGCAAAGTAGCCTCCTATGGGTTACTGTATGTCACAGAGGCTCCCAGAGGAGCTGACACACACACCTCCCAAATCCAGTCCACCAAGCTAAATGGTTAATTCTGCTCCTGTTAAAATGCAAGTTCAAGTCTGACATGAATACATTTTTAAACTGACTAGAGTATTAAAGAAACCACCACGTAAACGTATCCCAGTCACCCTGTGAACACTTTCCTGCATTGATCTCAGTGAAGTGTAAGCCTTTGGATGTCTTTCAGTTGAGTCTGCATACTCTGGTCCCAGGGCCACACCACTGCCTCAACCTGTTTTGTTTAGTAATTCAGTAAAGTCTGGTTCTCTGACAAACAGTTAATTAATCAGATGAAAAATGACAAGGTCAAATTCCTACACTGTTAGCCAGCTCTATAGCTAAATCAATGATAAAACAACAAGAGCAATGTGCACAAAACTTATAACAGTTGTGGATGAGACTGATGCCCTTGTCCACCCTGAACGTGACATATTTTGTTGATTGTTGTAGAAAACAGCTTCTTCTGTATGAGCTTTACTGATCCATCACTTGCTATTGATTGGTTAGGGCAAATCATAACAGAATACTACAGTGTCATGAACTAAATTCCATCAATCCAACCAACCATCCAACAGCAACTCTGCAGTTTTTTTTTAACTTAATGTTTACAAACATGTTTTGTGTTAACAATGTGTTCAAATATGATAAATATGAAACAGACAAACACAAAACACAGCACGTCACAAAAGTGTCCTTTTCAGCCCTCGAAACGCTGTTTAAGAGCTTGTAAAACAGCAACACTAGTTTTTCAAACTCAATGTTTGACACGGTTTGGGTTCACAAGATGTTCAAATCTGATACTTGTTCGCTGTGTATAGCATTGCAGAAAGATTTAGACATTTTGGAAAGAGGTCAGAGCTACATGCGAGAGGATCTTTTCAAAAAGAATTCCACTTGACCCTAATTTGTTTTTTTATCGGTATCTATCCAAATAAGCATAATTACAACAAACATTACCTGATGCTGATGAACCTCAGCTACGTAACTACTAAAATATTCTGGAAAAAAACTGTCAGACTAAATATCACAGATTGGATAACACACATGATGACAAATCTTCCATTTGAGAGAATTGCATATACACTCAGGGACAGGCATGAACAGTATGGGGAGGTTTGGGGACCCTTTGTAAAATATGTGGAGGTCATGAATTTGACAGAGTCAAGCTGACGAGCAGTTTGTTTGTTGATGTGTTATATTTTCCATTGTGGTTGGGGTTTTTTGTTGTTGTTTTTTGTCTGTTCTTTTTTGTAAATAAGTGTGAATATTGAAATAAAGATATTGTTATAGTTAGATACTTTATTCATCCCCTTGGGGAAATTCAAGGTATCCAGTAGCTCATAGATGTTACATGCAGGATAGATAGATGAAGGGACAATGTATAAAAGAGCATGCAATTGGCATTCAAATAGTGCTGGTTGAAGAAACAGCAATGAGGTGCCTGAAATGCTAATATTTACAGAAATGTGCAACAATAGTAGGACAAAGAATCTCCTGTATGGTTCAGTCCTGCCGTGCACTGAGATGAGCCGCTCACTGTAGCTGCTCCTCTGACCAGCCAGGATGCTGTGAAGAGGGTGGTTGACATTGTTCATGGACTGTGCTGTGCTGTGTATGTGCCTCTCAGCCACAGTCCTCAGTGAGTCCAAACCCCTGCCGAGCACAGACCCAGTCTTCTTTACCAGCCTGTCCAGCTGCCTGGTGTTCCTCTCAGTAATGCTGCTGCCTCAACAGACCACAGAAAAGAAAAGACCACTGGCCACCACTGACTGGTAGAACATATGTAGCATTTCAATGCATACATCGAAACATCTTAATCTCCTGAGGAAGAACAGCTGGCTGTGACCCTTCCGGTACAGGGCATCTGTGTTTGTGGACCATTCCAGTCCGTTGTCAAGGCACAAACCTAAAATTACGTCATCCCCTCTTCTCACGTTTAAAGATCCCCTTCAGACATTTCTGAAGACATTTACTCTGCTTTGAATAATAATTGAAGCTTTTTAATTAATCAAATTAGACACAATTACCTAGTTGAAAATTCTTAAAATGAAAACGGAACCTATGCTCTAATAAAAAAAAAAAAAGCAGAATTGATAAATATGCAAATTATACCTTCCCCTGATAGTTGAGGCCTGACTCGACTCAGATTCTTAGAGTCCAGTGTTTGTTTATTCACGTGTGACATGACATCATACATCTGAATAACAGATGAGAGAAGCTGAAACCTGATCTGTTTTAAATAAAGTACAGTTGAAACCAGAAGTTTACATACACTGTATAAAAAGACACATAACCATTTTTTTCCCTCGCTGTCTGACATTAAATCAGACTAATCTTTTCCTGTTTTAGGTCAGTTAGGATTACCAAAATTAGTTCTATTTGCTAAAAGCCAGAAAAATGAGAGAGAGAATTTTTTAGACCTTTTTTTTATCGCTTTCTTCAAAGTCAGAAGTTTACATACATTTCCTTAGTATTTGGTAGCATTGCCTTTAAACTTTAAACTATATGACTTAGGTCAAATGTTTTGGGTTTCCTTTCAAAAGCTTCTCACAAAAGTTTGATGAATTCTGGTCCATTCCTCCTGAAAGAACTGGTGGAACTGAGTCAGGTTTGTTGGCTGCCTTGCTCCACACGCCTTTTCAGCTCTGCCCACAAATTTTCTACAGGGGTTTGTAATGGCCACTACAAAACACTGACTTTGTTGTCCTGAAGCCTCTCTGTAACTAATTTGGCTGTATGCTTAGGGTCATTGTCCATTTGAAGACCCATTTCATCCAAGCTTTAACTTCCTGGCTTGAGATGTTACTTCAGTATTTCCACATAATGTTCTTTCCTCATGATGCCATCTATTTCGTGAAGTGCACCAGTCCCTCCTGCAGCAAAACACCCCCACAACATGATGCTGCCACCCCCGTACTTCACAGTCGGGATGGTGTTCTCAGGCTTGCAAGCTTTCTCCTTTTTTCTCCAAATGTAACGATGATCATTATGGTCAAACCGTTCAATTTTGTTGTCATCAGATCACAGGACATGTATCCAAAAATGAAGGTCTTTGTCCCTGTGTGCATTTGCAAACTGTAATCTGAATTTTTTCTGTTGCTTTTGGAGTAATGTCTTCTTCCTCTCTGAGTATCCTTTCAGCCCATGTCGGTACAGGACTGGTTTCACTGTGGATAATGACACTCTCTTACCAGCTTCAGCAGTATCTTCACAAGGTCTTTTACTTTTGTTCTGGGGTTGATACACACATTTCACACCAAAACACTTCATCTCTGGGACACAGAACCCGTCTCCTTCCTGAGCAGTATGATAGCTGGACATTTCCATGGTGTTTGTACTTGCGTGTAATTGTTTGAACAGATGAATGCGAAACCTTCAGGCATCTGGAAATTGTACCCAAGAATGAACTAGACTTGTGGAAGTCCACAATTCTCTTCCTGACATCTTGGCGGATTTCTTCATATTTTCCGCTAAAGAAGCAGTGCCTCAAATGTTGTCAGTTAACCTATCAAAAGCTTCCAAAGCCATGACATCATCATCTGGGTTTTCCCAAACAGTTTGAGGGCATAGTAAGCTTAGTGTATGTAAACCTCAGACTTTAAAGAAAGTAATGAAAAAAATCTCTGTCTCATTATTCTGGCAGTTAGCAAGTAGAAATAATTTTGGTAATCCTAACTGACCTAAAACAGGAAAAGTTTACTCTGATTTAATGTCAGACAGTGAGGGAAGATAAGGGTTATGTGTCTTTTTCGTGAACCGACGACCATCTTGCTGCGAGGCAACGGTGCTAACCACCGATTCACCTTACAGCCCTGGAAAGAGACATTGCTGTTAAATTTTTCAATATTTTTATTTTTTTATGGAGTACCACAATCAGAGTGTCATTTAGTCCAATTCTATTGGAAAGAGCCCTACAGCCGATACCTTTAGAACTTGGCAGCAGACACAAAAACAATTTAAATGGACTAATAGAACTTTATGTAAGAGAAAGAAAATGTGATTTAGATTTTTGGGGAAATGTCCTCTTAAGCATACTTACAGATTGTAACTAGTGTAGTTCATTGTGATTAATGCACAGTAAAAAAAAAAAAAAAAAGATTTGTGAAATTATTGCCATCTATTTATCAAGTGCCTGGTTTGTGTATTTACATACTTTTACTTGTTAACCCTCATGTTCACAACCATGTGTCACATGAATAAACAGCTATCTCAGGTAACTTTCAGCTGCTGTTATTCTAACTTAGAATTGTATGTTAAATCAACAGGAAAATGTCTCTTTGTACATGACAGAAAATGTCATAAAAAGAAGAATTTCATTGTTAGCCTTACAGAAATATTATCATGAGGTAAACAAGAAGATCCAAGTTAGATGAACTCTTTTCTGAACTTAAAAACTGTAGCAAGATCAACAATGGTCTGATCAACAAAACTCTGTTGCATCATGTTGCCTTGATATTTTGAGTTTTCTAAGCCTTTTCTGTTTTACAGTGTATTTGCAAGATTAAAAATGAAAAATGTTAACCAATGTACTGATTCAGATAAACCCTGAGTTGATAATTTTCCCTTTAAATAATGGGAAACTACACTTTGGAACAACTTCATTTCTTTAATAAATCAACTTATCAACTTTTTCTGCTGCCAATAATTAAATAATTTTAAAAAGTATTTAAACGTAGATTAAAAGCTGAATTCTGTAACTGAGTGTAGTTTGTTGGTTGAACATAATTTCATTAGAAGATTGATGCCAACTGTTGTGGTACCATCTGTTGTTGGTTTTGTTGGGTGTGTTTGTGTAACTGATGCAGTGACTCTGCTGCAGACAAAGATGCTGGACACACAACTGCTGCTGCCATGTTTTATTTTGGCAACACACACAGACAGACAGACACTACATAAATCCTCCAAACAGCAGCATCCTGATGAAACCTCTGAGTCACTGTAGTTAAAAATATTCTCATCAATTAAAGATCCTCAGTGTCACTTCAGAATAGAATAAAACCGCATCCTAATGAATGAATGAATGAATGAATGAATGAATGAATGAATGAATGAATGAATGAATGTGAAGTTCCATGTGGTTGTAATGGATGGTGGAACCCTAAAAACATTTTAATTTGAACAGAGGAGCAGAGAAAACACAGCATAAGAGATGCTGTGTCTCCAAATTCTGAAGAAACTGAAGAAACTTCAGGAAACTGTCTGACCATGAATCAGACTGAAATGAAACTTTCTTAATTCCTTCTTATATATAAAATAAACCTGAGAGGTGAAGGATAAAGAATCAAACTTCTGGAAGCTGCAGACTAACTGAAGTTGCATAAATAAATCAACTGTGACCAGTGAAGCTTCTCATTATTATAACAGCAGGTCATCATGGGAAACTCAGCACTGCAGTCGGATGACAAACTTCTACTGCAGGATTTTTTGCAAAAATTTTTGCAAGATCCCAAGAAAGTTTTGCGAGATCTTGCAAAAGATATTTCACTTTTTTTTCCCCTCTCCCTGTTTTTTTTCTTTCTCCATGTCCCTTCTGGGGCTCCGTTGGTAAGTGAGTGTTTTCCAAGGTGCTGTACAAATAAAATGATTATTGTTATTACCATCCATCCATCCATTCTTGCCATATATGCTTTTTGTAGTTAGCTTAAAAACTACTGACAGACTTCCATGGCATCTGTTGTGCTTTATATCAGCACTATGCTGATTATTAGATCTTATTGTGGTTGTCATGAACACCTCTCTAGGGTTTATTCTTATCTGTTTGTTTTTTGTGTTTTGTTTCTCTAAAGGCTTATTTATTTATTTATTTGTATTTCTTAATTTATATAGCACCTTTAAGAACAGCATCCACAAGGTGTTGTGACAGTGAAAACATGCAATACAGAGACAATTAAGGAAGACTTAGGAATAACGAATTAAAAACGACATCACACCAAAAAACTAGGCAGCTAAAAATTAAAATAAAAACAAAAGAGAGCATATAACACAAACAGGTAAATAGTGCAGTGGTTTGCCAGCTGAATAAGATTATCTGAGTTACATGAGTTTTATATGTGGTTAGATCTTTACAAAATAATTTTCATTCTTTTATCTTTAGCTTGTGCATCAACTGAGATGAACTGAACATTTACTGGAATTGATTGTCATATATGTTTTTGCTGTTTAGCCCTATTAAACTAGTTCTCCCAGTCTAAATAAGTTGAAGGCAGGGCAGCATGGTTAGAGTGTTTTCACACAATATTGAGATTTTATTCAAATGTGCCTTGACATTATATGTGACACTTTCGGCTGTCCTCAGCTCTGACAGAGCAGGAACCTGATGAAATGCTGTTTTATCAAATGAGGCTTTAAACAAAATTCTTCATTACACTCTGTTGCTACAGTTACAGTCTTTGTAATACAAAAACGGTTTCATATCTTGATAACGTTTTAGACGTGAGATGTGATTTAAATTTTTTATTAACCAATTTGCATTGTGTTTTCCTGTAAGTAAAATGTCATCTCTGAAAGAAATGGCTCACCATTCTCCTTAATGTGTGGCTGATTTTATGGTTGATCAGGATTATTCTGCTCTTCTGTGTCACAGGGAAGGTGTACAGTATTGTGAGCGTTGCTGTGAAGTGTTGGTGGGGTGGGGATGTATGAGGTCACTGGTCTTGAAATTGCTGCCAAAGATCCAAAACTGTCAAGATAATTCACTTCCATTTGACGTCTCTGAAACCTTTGTCTATACCTAACTGTAGCTTTATTAGACTATGGTATAGCTACATTAGGCCTACACAGGACTGTAAATACTTTAAGACCGATGGGCCTGGTAATTGATATTTTGAATATAGATAGAAATTGAATGTTGATAAAC